TATGTATATATATATATATATATATATATGTATATGTATATATATATATATATATGTATATATATATATATATGTATATATATATATATATATATATATGTGTGTGTGTGTGTGTGTGTGTATGTGTGTGTATATATATGTATATATATATATATATATATATCTTTTTTTGTATATATATGTATATAATAGAATACAATTTAACATAAATGTTAAATTTATAAAAATAATAAATTAATTTATTCATGAGAATCTTTTTTTTCTGTAATGACAGAAAGACCTTATAATTACAGCTATCAAACAGTTCCTGTAAGTTTTAACATTTAAACACATAGTATATGAGTATATTCCTTCACACTCATACACCAAAAACTATATCATTATTAATATTATATTATTATTAGACACCATTTAAACTTTTGTATACAGCACTTTTCATAAACTAGTGAAACTCAAAGTGCTGAAAGCATGAAATAAAGATATACAGGCAATTAAGACCAATTTTACATCAAATTCAATTAATATAAAACTTATTTAACTACTACAATAAAATCTCTTTAGCTTGTTTGTGCTCTTACAAAATGCTTTGCAAAAAATTAGACTACTTAAGACAAATCAAAAGACAATCTGCACAAATATAAAAAGGAGAAGGACCAACATTTCTTGCAGTACATTATTTTGTTCACTCCATTACCTGAAATGGCTTCTGTGCGTTTGTACACCTGTGTTTGGGGTTTATCAGATCCTACATGATTGACGAGAATTAGAATCTTAAATCAGGTTCATGTTCACCATGACTTCATTTTGCATAACAGAATAATAATAATAATGATTTGGTTATTATAGAAATCAACTGGTTGTGCTATAAACCAGCAGAAATTGCTCCTTAAGTCAGCAGAATGTAGTTTGACCATATGACCCTTTGGCTCAGTCCCGCCTCACATGACAGGTGCAGAATAAGGTTTAACTGGTCAAGCAGCTGATGCAACAAAAAGCCAAAGCTGCGCTTTTCAAAGTGTCCTGATATGAACAAATCAGTCTGTGGTTCTTGCACGTCATTTGTATTTTTCAAGACATTTTTTATGAACTGCCTTACACTGTAATCCGTTTCTCTGTCGTTTTATGGTAACTTACTGCCAGCACTGTTACCAGTAAGGTACCTTAAATTCATTTAAATAAATGTGTTGCTATTTTACAAAAGTTGGGTTTGAGATCACAACTTCAAAGTTTGATGATCAAACATCTGATGAAATCGTTCCTGATTTTACCCAGATCAGTCTAAAAAAGTCACATCTCATTTAAAATGCAAATAAAAAGGGATTTACACATTATTTTTTGACAGTTTTATTGAGTTTGTTGTATCAACAATTTCTAATGAGCAGTAAATTTCTCTTGATTCATGTGTGTGGAGACAGAAACCAGCCACCCAACGTTTGTCAGATATTGCAGACTCTGCCTTATTTCTCTGCCTTTTACGAAATCAATTAGCGAGTGAAGAAGCACAGAGCAAACCAACCACAGTTACACAATCAGCTCCAGAATCTGAGCAGATCAAGTCCAGGCGAGGGGGTGGGAGCTCTAAATCCTCGTGTGAATCCCCAAAGAAAGAAGGTTTACGTGGATAAGCTAATGCCGCCAGCTCACCGACACACAGTTACTTCAACACTTCAGCCTCTTCGTTGAGAAGCAGCACAACGAGACGGAGAAATACCATACCATACCATACCAATTTATTTATATAGCACTTAAAACAGCAACAAGGCCAACCAAAGTGCTGTACAAAAGAACACAAACATGCACAGCGGACAGGAAAACATAAAATAGAAATACAGATACAAATAGCAGCAGAAGCTAACTAAAATGGCCAACAGAGTAGAGAACAGACCGGACCAAAACAAATCACACCATGTTAAAGGCAAGCGAATAGAAGTGTGTCTTCAAGCGAGACTTAAAGACTGAGAGTGTGGGAGCCTGCCGGACACTCAGTGGCAACTCATTCCACAGTCGTGGACCTGCAACAGAGAAAGCCCTGTCACCTCTGAGCTTACGACGGGTTTCTGGGACTGAGAGAAGCATCTGGTCTGCTGACCTCAGAGAGCGCGGTGGGACATATGGCTGCAGAAGATCAGTGAGATAGGATGGGGCGGAACTGTTCAGTGATTTAAAAACATACATGAGAATTTTGAAATGGATCCGAAGGTGAATGGGTAGCCAGTGCAGGGAGGCCAAAACTGGCGTGATGTGCTCTCTATAGCCTGTACCAGTTAAAAATCGGGCTGCAGAAATGACGGATAAAACTTCCATCTGGATGATCAATGTTGACTTTTACTGGATTATAAAATAGGAAGCTTCCATAAACAAAAGCTACTCTAAATCAGAATGTTTATGCAGATTCTCTGTGTGTTAAGTTTCATTATTTCTTTGTCTTTTTTGTGTCAACTGAAAAATTTAACTTTTGCATTTTAGATGAGAATTATTTCAAATTCTGTGCTATATTTCGTGGGGGTTTCTGGCAGTAAATGACATTTAAGGAAAAAAAATAGATAGATGATCCTGAGGAACTGTACCCAAGCTGCAGAAATTACTTATTTATTACTTTTCATAATTCATGAGAAATCACTTTTTTTGCTATAGTGACAGCAAGGCCTGTTATTATAATTTCAGCTATCAAACATTTTCCCGTAAGATCTTTTTTAATTTTACTTTTTTGCAGTGAACATCAGGTTTTGAGTTTTAAATTTTTACCTTTTTCGCCACATGTTTGGATCATTGTCTTATGTCTGCAATAACCCAAGGTCGTTTCTCTCTTTCTTGCAAGAGCCTTTTTAGAGGACTGCCAAGTGATGGGGGGGAAAATCATTGACGAGCTTTGATCGTGTTCTTGAGGTGAATCGTTTTGCCTTTTATACATCAGACAGAAACTGTGCCTTTGAGCTCAGATAAGTCAAATTTTATCTCATCTGGACGCTAAATAGAAAACCAAAACTTTTCTTTATGACCTTTAAAAAAAGCTCAGGGAGATTTTGTTCACGTTTCTCACTGAAGTTCAGTTTTTGACAATGTCCATGAAACTTTTCTTTACAACATCCCCTTTCTTACTTAGCATGACTCAGCGTGGCTCTCATGATGGTTCTTGAACATTTAATTGTCCTTATACGGATTAAAAAGACAAGGAAATCTGTAGAGAATCTTTGCCTTCGGCAGCGTTAGACCTTGTAACAAGACAATAATCTGAAATGACGACAAGAATCCCAATCTGAGGAGTGACTTAAAGAACAAAGAGACAATTAAAAAACTAGCATTCCAAGGAATGCATATCATCTGCTGCATTTCATGCCAGAGTTGTAGATTAATATAATCTTATGTTAAGAAATGAGAGCTAGAGCTGTGGTAAGGCAAGATGTCTGCACTCAGAGTATTTGTTATGAGTGATGCTCAGCTACTACCACACCAAACTTTAGGTCAATATCTGTAAAACTGACTGAACTATAGAAGTTTTTTTTTTTTTTTTTTTAAGATCACTTGAATGTGGTGGTAAATCTTGAATGAGGCTAGCTCCTAAACTCAATCAGTAGAAAAGCTACAACCAATAATTTTTTCTTAAAAGTTTCAGTAAAATTCATCTAATGGTTCATAAGATATTTTGCTAACAGACAGATAAAGTTGATGCTAATTAGCTAATGGAATTTTAAGTGACGATTTTTTGCACAAGCTAGTTGTGCTCAGAGTATGTGTTAAGGATTAGTGTTGGCTACTACCACACCAAACTTTGGATCAATATTTGTCAAACTGACTGAATTATAGCCATTTTGGTGGTTTTTAGGTCGTTTTCACACCAGATAGTCCGGTAGACTCGGTTCGGGACCAATATTCATGACCTTTTGTTTACATTTGAGCTGGTGCGTTTGCATTCACACTGCACTGTGCAGTCAAGTCAACCTGTTGAACCAACCTATTCCCCCGCTCGCCTGTGGGGGCGCTGCACCAAGAACTACTGAAAGAAACAACACAAAAACCTCTGAAGACACTTCTTCTTCTTCTTCTGTAAATAAAAATAAAAACGAAGTGGCATCAAGTTTTAGCAGTTTTAGGAGTTATATTTATTCATTTTTCAAAAATGGACTTAGCATGAGCAGAAGACCCTGGAGAATATTGTTTTTCCACACAAGACAGCTGACGGCTCCATATAAGGTCAGAGAAATGCGTGTTTGTTTACCCTGCGGAGCGGGTCTCGGTCTGTTTACATTCACACTGCACTCGAACCGCGCTGGAGTTCGCTTCTACCAGACCGAGACCTAGGTTTAGCCCGGGCCAGAGTTCACCTTTTTGTTCCGTGACAGAGTTCGATGGTGCGTTCACACCTCCCTAAACAAACCGGACTTTCTAGGAAAACGAGCTAGAGTTCGATTAAAGCGGACTAAACAGGGCTGGTGTGAATGCACCCTTAAAGTCAGTTCATACAGTGAGACTTTCTGCATTTCAGTAACATTTTGTCAACATGTTCATGAGATATTTTGCTAACAGACAGGCACATGCACACACATACAGGCAAAAACATTCTCGTCTGCCATTGTCATGAAAAAGCTGTGAGGCTTCCCACCTGAATCTCTGCTTGGGCGTCTGCCTCTCCGGACTCTTGTACAGGTGGCCGATGTAATACAAGGGGAAGAAGAGGCAGTTCCAGGTGGTGGCGAACCAGGTGAGGGTAAACGGGGCGTCAAACTTCTTAAACGTGAGCTTGGCCAGCTGGGTGGAGCCCGCCCAGGACGAGCACACGCACACGACCATGGCGACCCCCCACAGGGCCTTCCGCACCTGTACGGCTGTTACTCTGATGCAACAGTGGAGCCTCCGTCTGTCCGGTTCTGACCCAGCTGCCCCGGCCGACTGCGAGTCTGTTGTGCCCACCACGTTCTCCCTGGTCCGGTCTTCTCCTGTGCACAAACACAACGGAATTATTTTCTAATTTGTTGGACTTTACTGTCATCTTTGAAAAACAGCTGGTGTCGAACTCATTTACCAAAAGGAGCCAAAATGTAAACACTTTGTCCGAGCCATGGACCACTTTCAGCTGATGCATTAACTCAAGTCAGATCTTTTCTTGGTTCATCAACAAGAGTGTGATCTGTCTTATTTGACGTTCTGTTGCTCTTCCCACGTCAGAATCAACAATGACAGAATGATCCAACCTTTTTTCTGGCTTCACAGTTGGCCAGCTGGCAAGAGAAGTCTACACTAAATGATGTATTTATCAGTTTATTAAAGAAAAATTAGAAGAGATGCAATATTTACATTTAAATTATCATCTTGGGGGACCAGATTTGGCCCACGGCTCTTGAGCTTGACATATGGGGTTCAAATGAACTTGTTGGTCGGTGAGCAATCGGACACTTGAGTTAAAAATATTACAGCTGGGTGTGACCGGCAGCAGACAAACAGAGGACAGAAAAGGACGGATCTGACATCCAATCCAAGACGACCTGCTCTCAAACGGATGAGTTGTGGTGGTTTGTGTATTTGCACTATAGCCCACAAAGACACACACAGCACCTCCTACATTTTCTGTTTGTCCCGTCACAACCTGATAGGCTCCATGTGTCTTCAATAACACGACAACTGAGGCAAAGTGCTATCTCCGGCCCACTCACATTCTTTGGGCCATTCCACAATTGATAAGGTTGTTTTGTTTAAAAGTCTTACGACAAAAACAACTGTTGTTCCTTCTGAACTGTTCAGTTACAGCCAACAGTGTTTTACAGCATCAAATTTTAGCTAAATATTTAATAAGCTGACAGTTAAAGACATTTTGTGTTGACGATTGTGGAAATCTTGAACTGTATTCACCACAAAAGTTAGGTTGTATCTAACAAGGTTGAGTCAGATCCTCTGGACAGGTTCTGGAGTCAGTCCTTTGTGTCTCTTAGCAAAATATATCCTTCAACACTACACATGTTTTAATTAAACTGCAAAAAAGTAATCGCTGGATGTCCCGATGCATGCTCAGTAATCCATTTCATTGGTGTAGTCTATGTGATACTGGGGTATATGGAGTATACCCACTAGAAAAGCTTAAGAATTTCAGTATGCCTACTTAAAAGTGTCCAATGATACATGACATATCATTAGGCACGTGTCATTGATACGTTAAACGGCAGTTAAACTCTTCTGTAACAATCTTTCTGTATGCAGCACTTTGCTTTGATACTGTTTTGTAAATTCTATAACATGTTTTTCATACATAGCCAACAGTTGTACAAAGTTTATTGTACATTTATTCAAATATAAGCATCAGAGAAATTTGAAAATGTTCAATACGCTTAAAAATCTAAATAATTTGACCATTACATTGTACTAACCAGTGTACTTTGGTTTCTAAGCACAGTATACCCACTACAAAAATGTAGACTACACCACTGATCCAGATGGATACATCTAACCAGGTTGGGTCAGGTCCTCTGGACGGATTCTTCCACTACTAGAAGCCAACAGTTCATTTTCCAGCTTTCATTAAAAAATGTCCAATAGATCATGAGATATTTGGCTAACAGACAAATAGGTAATAGCAAAATTTTAAAAACAAATCTTGGGAAATCTCTTAGTGCTCAGAATGTGTTGAAAATCGGTCTCAGATACTATCACACCAATTTTTAGTTTACCAACTGAGAAATTAATTAGATTATAGCCATTTTTGTGTTTTTTGAGGATCTGTTAGCTGTAGAAAACATCTTGAATTGTGTTGATTTAAAAAAAAAATCTGTTGTTTAATATCAACACCATGTCTTCCTTCCATAAAGTTTAGATACATGATTTCCCTGATAATGTCTTCAGTGGTGATGATGTGCCACTGAGTCATCTCTGATTGATGCTAATGGCTATAACACAGGTTGGACTTGTAGTGAACTTGACCTGATGTCAAATCAATGACCTTAGGATCATATGGTCAGGAACTGTCATTTCATTGATCTGCATCTAGAAATACAGGTTGATCGATCCTGAGACTTTCTTTCTTGAATTAATCAAGTGGAAAAGACAATTCTCTATGATCATTACTATTTTACAAATGTTTGATAATCGAATTGTGTTAGTTCAAACAATGTTTACATGTTGAAGTGAACTACTCATTTTTATTTACTTAAACAGTAGTAATGATTTTTATTCCTCATTCAAAGAAGAAATCAGGGTAATATGCATTTCTTGATTTTTCTGTCTTCAATGAGCAAATTTGTAAGTGTGTTAAAGTTCGAGTTTCGGTCAACTAAAAAGTTTACTGAAAAGAAATGTCATGTTTAACTTTTACAGCAAGATACTGAGTAGAGACGCCACTAAGACTGGTTTTCTCCAATAATCTTTCTGTCTGTTACTAAACAATCCTTGACTTTCCATAACACCTTACATCACAAACCACACCTCTGTTCTGGTCCATCCACGAATCAGAAAGCTCTCAAATGAACCGGAAGTGGAGCCCGTTTAAATGTGGCAACTTCCCAGTTTAACAGTAGAGTTTCAGAGTTGAGAAGAGATGAGTTAAGGAAGACCAAGAGTTCAGAGTTCTGAAGGAGTTCAGAGTTCTTGGATTCCAGAATGCAGAGATTTTAGGACAACCTGGATGCAAACGCAGGCATTCATGGTTGCTCCTAAGCCAACAAGCTGAACCAGAGACGATTATGGGAATTATAACTTCTATTTGGATAACCTCACACGACTCCTAGGGTTTTAGCTGTCCTCACGGAGACGCTGAAAGAGTCAAAAGGAGAGCTCTACACCGACGCTGAAGCTATCGTCTGCAAGGTAAAAGTTCTATTTCGACCAAGCGTACCGTTGGCCAAGCTGATTTCCAAAGAGCGTGCTGTTCTGGTTAAAACAGATAAATTCCCTCACACATCTCTCTGTAAGATAAATCTCAATTTTCCATCTTCAAACTCTCCTTTCTGCTAGAAAATTAATCCAGATGTTTTCATTAATGTCTGTGGTGAAGCAACGGAAAACCATGGCCGTATGGTTTTCCTGGTTGTAAAACTGATTAATTGATGTCTGCCGTTTTAGCTGAAAAGTGAAAACAATCGCCGTATTGTTCTCACTTCCTGTAAAACTATGCTGTTGTTATTTTCATATTTTGCCAAATTAATGTAAATGTTTGATGTTAAACTTTGATTCTGTAAATAAATGACCGCATTCATTTTGATGGGTCAAAGATAAATAACGTCTCTCGTTACATTTCTGTTAAATTCAATGCACGCATGTTACACAGTCAGAAAAATGAAGAACCCGTTTAATGTATGAATATATCTCAGCATCTGTTCATACTACAGACTTTAGGAATGACCATTGCCGCATCAACGGGAGTTTTTATTCTGTCATTGTAACCTTGAGTGAGATTCTTGCCATAAACTAGTCCTGATGATGCTGCATCATCATTAATGGGAAATGTTTAACCGAACAGAAAGCCATCACCCTTACAGAGAATTCTAGGTTCGTAGTTAAGCATCCATCACGCCCAATGAAGCGGCTCGTTCTTCTGGAAAAAAGCTGTGTCTGACCTTGCCAGGTGGTCTCATCACATCCCAAATTAACTCCCCTGATGGCTTTCGCCTCTAATTCCCACACCCCGGCTTCCTCTGCCTGCGTGATGAATGCACAAGAGATTCGGATTGTGTTTCTCTATTGCAAGCAAAACAGAGAAAGTGACGCAATTAAGATGAAATGATGGTGCACTCTTGTAGCACCCTAATCTGCGCCCCCTGTTTGTGTGCCAGCTCTGACAGCCCAAAGGCAAATTTGTCAACCGTGACAAATGATTCAAGATTGTCGTGTTATATTGCCATGTAACAACGAATCAGCAAGAACTAAAAAACGAGGGTTGCAGGCACACATGGACATCTTGGGTGAAAGTTACGCCTCTATTCTGAGCTCCTTTATTGTTTGTCTTATTCTGAAGGTCATCTCGTGTTGATGCTGCCCAGTTTCCGTCTTTCCTGGGATCCAGTCCCACATCCCGCAGCTCCAAACACTTTCGGTACGGCACCAGAGCTTAATCTCTGAAATGCAGACACGAGCCAAGTCTATCAGGTAGGCTCGGGCTGAACTAAGCATTTGGTGGTTAGACAATAAAACAGACCCTGAAAAGCCTGTAATGATATATCCAAATGGATATTCTCTAATATTTGTTCCCCACAAAAAGGCATTTAAAATATTAACTAAAGCTGCAATGATTAGCTGCCCCAATATTTCCACATGCTCATTTATTACCAGTGAAGCCCGGACCGATGTGCTTTATGCTCACGCCGACTGTGACTAATGATACTGTATCAGCTCTGAGTGCTGCTGAGGAACAATATGGAGCTGAGCTGAACTCATCAGTTAATGGGTCACCGGACTGGAGGGGCAAAACAAAAAGGCTCAGCTTATAATGCATTTCAAAACGATTAATATTGTGAATGAAACCTGGGAGGATAAATTGATAATGCAAGCTGTTAACCATATGAGCTCATAATTAAATGTTTACCGTCAAGGTGACCCCAGGATGTGAGCAGCATAAGGAATGGCGTCAGTATCTTACAAATGATCTCAACTTTCTGCTCAAGAATACAGATTTAGATCTGATTTGGTATAGAGCAAAACATGTCCATGATCATACACATTTTTTTGTCTAAATGCCCCTATTTTTTCTAAGGAATCTGTAGAATTGCTGGAAACAGATTGAGGATGTTACTCATAAAACCCAAACTGCTTTGCTCTGACAACCATCTATGGCTTCTTTTCCCCCTCCAATAGACTTTCATGGATCAGAGCATTCAAACACATCTGGATTCACTGTGCATCAGTAAAGATGCTCTCAAGAAAGAAAAATGTTAATAAATCACTGAAAAGATAATATGCCAGCCTTGTTGCACATTTTCTCCTTTATTTCCAGTTCTTTAAATGCCTTTATCCTTAT